ACTGGAAGAGAGAATATCCAGAAAGGGGTTTGCGGCCCAGGGAAATTGGGTGGATTAGTAGCAGAGGATAAAGGGAAAATATAAATATTCAATGGTTCACATGTGAAAACCTCATAATAGGGCAAAGATGGGCAAAACTTAATATAAGTTTCTACAGACACATAAATTGGGGGATTATTTTCTCATTATTAAGTAATAAACCAGGGGCCGGCAATCTTTTGGTGAGAGCAGACCAGAAAGCTATGCAGTGTCCCGGAGGAGGGTCTATGATATCAAATGTACTATAATAAATTACCTCGACCTTCGGTCAATCCGTCCAGAAGCTGCCTTGGTTTGGAGGTTTAAAGAAAAAAACAACGAAGTTAATCTTATATTATTTAAACAAGGTTCCTTATTTTATTGCAGGAATAACAGTATAACAACTAACACAAACAATAAAAAATACGAATCCCTTATTACAAACAAAATATAGTGGGAAATGGCAAATGATTTAATAAGACATTTTTTCTGCTTATATTTCAATAACTTCTCCACATCAGGTTAAATATTTGTCTGTGACAGGAGCGGAATATCATCCAGGCAGTCATCACCTAACCATGTTCTTAACCGACTTTTACCATATTTAATGGTAGAAAAAAGTTGTTCACAAACATATATACTTCCGAATAATGGTACCATAATTTTCTCATTATTCAATAGGCTTTTATTTTCCGCTTGGCAAAACATATTTCTTGTAGAAATCAGTTTTGTTGGAATTAAATTTTGATTTAAAAACTTTGTTGCATTGTAAGTTGATTAACTTCAACTGATATTTTTCTGCCACTAGCTCCACAAATGAATAAGATAATTAAGGTGTTACGTTTGTGGGCCGGACAAAAATCCTTCGCGGGCCGGATGTGGCCCGGGGGGGGGGGGGGCAGGGGTTGCCACCCCTGTAATAAACTAATCACTTCAATGGTACTAAATATTAATATCAAAAACTCCAATTATGGGTCAAATAGCAGGAAGTGACTGGTATCTCTAGCCGTGGTTGACAACCAGTCTCAGAAGGAAAACTCTGAATACTTTTAGACATGGTAAACAAAAACACGACTGATTTCAACAAATATGGGTAATTTCACTGGAGAGCGATTCTACAAAATGCTTTTGGCATCAATGAGCACTTAACTCTAGGAAGCTGTTATTACTGAAATTAACAATCATACGGCAAGCCTTCTTGTGCTAACGTTCTCAACTGACATGAAGTGCAAAGAATATATTAAATCCATTGCTTGGTCAGCTACTAAAAAATGAGCTCACTGTGTCGTGCGAGACAATTTTTCTTTCCAGAATCTATCTTACGTATCTATAAGTCTGCCATTCGTCCATGCTTAGAATATTGCTGGCACATATGGTCTGGTGTTCCTGGTGTATATCTAGAGCACCTTGATAAAATCCAAAAAATAATCAGCAATACTATTGGTTCTAGTCTGGCATCTCTGCTTCAGGCATTTTCCCGCCTTCGTCAAGTTGACTCCCTCTTTCTTAACTATAAATAGTTTCATGGTAATTGTTCGGATGGGCTCTTCGCTATGGTACCTAGACTTTATGAATTTAAACGCATTACTAGATTGGCGGCGAGGTCTCACCAATTTGAATTGTTTAAATGTAACCGTAAATTCTACGCTAACATTTTCTTTTCTCGCACTTCTCGCTTGTGGAACTATCTTTCGATTCCATGCTTTCCAGTCAACTTTAATCTTCAAAAATATAAACGCAATGTCAATGGCTATCTACTGTCCTCCTGATTACTTTTTTGTGCTCGCTCTTTAGTAATGTTTCTGTTTCTAAATCTTCCACACCCAGTAACCCATTGTGTTTTAGTGGTTTTACTGCCTTGCTTGGGGTGAACTCGATCAAAAAAATACTGAGTCAGTTTATTGCATAGATTTTTAATCGAAGAATTTTCTATCTTTGGGAGATTTTCCAGAAGCATTTTCTCACGTCGAAAAAAAATTACACTTCTCCTCCATCTTGTACACCTAATATATCAAATTTTAACGCTAGGGATTAATTGGATTAAGATTTATAATCATCTTTTAAGAAGTTAAATTAACCTGCTAAAGTGGTTACACCGAAAAGTAAATAAAGTAGGCGATGATAAATAATTTCAAACTAGCCAAATCCGTCAGTATCTGTCTATATTTCTGAGATGAGGTATTATGTACACTATTTACATTATTCGGACTATTGTTCTCATCTTTGTCGCCATATTTATTACAAAGTTTTGGCCTTTCAGTATCTGTCTATATTTCTGAGATGAGGTATTATGTACATTATTTACACTATCCGGACAATTGTTCTCATCTTTGTCGTCATATTTATTACAAAGTTTCGGCCGTTGTACGCTCCAGCCTTCTTCAGGTGGTTGGAATGTCGAACTGAACCCTTTATTTCGCTCACTGGGGTAGACTGTTCTAGTTCCACGTGCAATGTTTAATGGATGTCCGTTATCCGTTATCTCCTGTTAATTTCTCTCTGAAAGTTCTCTACTGCCTTAATCGAGTATTGAACTCACACAACTATATGGGAACCAGTAATAAGGAGTGCCAGAGAAAAGCAATAATAACAACAAATGTTGCAATATGAGTTCTAGTAAAAACATGTGTGATAACAGTAAAAGTTGCAATATGAGCACTGGTTAAAATGGTTGCTGAGACATTAGGTTTATAATACACACACAGGTGTCCTCATGGCACAGTGAATAAAGGCGTTAGTTAGATCCAGTGACAGGGACCAAAAGTGTGAGTTCAATACCCGGTTAAGGCAGTGGAGAACTTTCAGAGGGAAATTAACAGGAGATAACTGATAACTGACATCCATTAAACATGGCACGGGGAACTAGAACAGTTTACCCCAGTGAGCGAAATAAAGGGCTCAGTTCGACATTCCAACCACCTGAAGATGGCTGGAGCGCACAACGGCCGAAACGTTGTAATAAATATGGCGACAAAGATGAGGACAATAGTCCGAATAATGTAAATAATTTAGCGAATCCTCGTCTTACGAACATTTCTCTTAATAATAATTTTAAAATAATTAAACAGACGATGTAATTTTATCTATGGTAAACGGATTTTTGGCGATTGCCTCACTCGTTTTCCATTGTTTGATACTGTGAGTATGACATTACATCTCGGCCTTTTGGTTTGGAGAGTTTCATATAACTTTAAGTCCATGACCCAGGCTTCACCCCTCCTCCGGTAGGGGGCTAGGTTTATTATCCGACGCCTGAGGTGTCCCCAAATGGGCAAGTGCTGATGGAGCTTGGGCAATTTTTCCATGGTATTGCCGTTAAACCCACTTTAAACCTTGTCCTTGTGTGCGCTGAAAAATAAAAACTACTCGGCCTTTTGACTGGGATCAAAGTCTCGTATATGGCCTCTGGTGTACGAGCGCAACTAAGAATATTATTGAGAGATGCCCTATTCCGGGAATCAGATGCCGACGGCAATACCTTCCTCACTGCATTGATGAGTGGTAGCGGGGGTGATGGTTGCGGGGGTGATGGTTGTGGTGGCTGGACTATTTTGGAATCTATACCGGGTGCACGTGCTCGGGCTCCTCACATTAAACTGACCTTGACAGCGTGGGGTCGAAAGAAAGAAATTTTGGCTGAGATCAAAGTGTATTATCAGTTCTTATCAGTTTAAACTGATTTTTACTCCCCACTTCTTTTCTTTCTTTCTCTCTTTTTTCTTTCTTTCTTTTTCTTACTTAAAACAGGTAGTGTCTTCTCCCCTCTTTCCACACGATCAAATACAGTAATTCCCCTGTATTCGTGGAGGTTAGGGACCAGAATCTGCCTCAAATAGTTAGAATCCGCAAATACTTATACCCACCGTAAAACTGCTTATAAGTACCTATTTTGATTGTTAAAACCACATATAAACTTAAACTTTCATCCTAAACACTTTAAAAATATTTCAGACCCTTTTTAAAAACATTTTTGAGAAATAGTATTGGTGACTATACACTTAGCGTAAATTTTCTCTCATACGTACAATAACCGTTTTTAATTACGCATAGATCGATACAACCATTGAAAATACTGTATAAAATATGTGTAACAAGACATAAAATATAAACTTTAAAACATTTTCTAAAAAAGAACTGTGATGATGCCCCCAGATTTAGCATAAACCACTTTTAAGACCCCAGCCGCAGACCCTAGCAAAGAATAAAGCCCACGCACTACGCATGTTTGTGCGTTTGTTTGTTTTTTACAATGAACATGTACAGGAAAATAATACAAGAATATTTTAAATATCATCGATAAAAAAAATAGGCAAATCGAGGGAGTTCTCAGCGAATAATTTGTATATATGTTCTTCAGAAAAAATAAGCGAATATTCGGGGTTTCCGCGAATAACAAGTACATATGTTCTAAAGAAAAATCCGCGAATGTGTGAAGCCGCGAATGCTGAAACGCGAATAAGTGGGTAGTCCATTATTTATGAGGTAAAAGCAAAGTCTATATACATTCCGTTTACTTAGTAACAGCAACAGATGCAAAACTAATATTTCCATCAGTTTTTCTTCCCGCATGTTATTTTTTAGTAGCAGTAGCAGCAGCAGTAGTAGTAATAATAATAATAATAATAATAATAATAACCGTTATATCTTTCTTGTTTCTGTCTTGATACATTGGCTGGGTCTGATTTACTTTTATTAATTAGCACAACTTGTAAATTCCTTTTCTCAGCCTAAGCTAATTCCACCCATGGACTATGGCCACAGCGTCTATTCCCACACCACACTATGGGATCACGGACGCAAGTGAGTTGAGAAGTTTTCAGTTGACTTGGCCCGGTAATTCGATGCCTTTCAAAATAATGTCAATACGCCAAGATTAGGGGTTAGAACGGATGCTAAGGTACAATGGATTATTAAGGTGACCTTGATTGAATTGTGATAATAAAGGCATTAATCCCATCAGAAATTAGAAACAATAGGTGGGATCAATTATCATAGATAGATAGATAGATATGAACAGACTGAGATAGATAGATAGATAGATAGATAGATAGATAGATAGATATGAACAGACTGAGATAGATAGATAGATAGATAGATAGATAGATAGATAGATATGAACAGACTGAGATAGATAGATAGATAGATATGAACAGACTGAGATAGATAGATAGATAGATATGAACAGACTGAGATAGATAGATATGAACAGACTGAGATAGATAGATAGATATGAACAGACTGAGATAGATAGATAGATATGAACAGACTGAGATAGATAGATAGATAGCTAGATAGATATGAACAGACTGAGATAGATAGATAGATAGATAGATAGATATAAACAGACTGAGATAGATAGATAGATAGATATAAACAGACTGAGATAGATAGATAGCTAGATAGATATGAACAGAGATAGATAGATAGATATGAACAGACTGAGATAGATAGCTAGATAGATATGAACAGACTGAGATAGATAGATAGATAGATAGATAGATAGATATGAACAGACTGAGATAGATAGATAGCTAGATAGATATGAACAGACTGAGATAGATAGCTAGATAGATATGAACAGACTGAGATAGATAGATAGATAGATAGATAGATAGATATGAACAGACTGAGATAGATAGATAGCTAGATAGATATGAACAGACTGAGATAGATAGCTAGATAGATATGAACAGACTGAGATAGATAGATAGATAGATAGATAGATAGATATGAACAGACTGAGATAGATAGCTAGATAGATATGAACAGACTGAGATAGATAGCTAGATAGATATGAACAGACTGAGATAGATAGATAGATAGATAGATAGATAGATAGATAGATATGAACAGACTGACATTATTTTTATGTTTACATGCATTTAAACTGATCAAATTTTATTTCAGAGAACAATAAAATTAAATTTTGTTTAATTAAAACCCTGCTAACATGGAAGTACCCAAGAATCATTTGAGGCACATAATGCTTTATGAGTTCAAGTAAGGAAACTCAGCAGCCGAAGCGGCTAGAAACATTCACTCAGTTTATGGAGAGGAATGTGTGAATGAAAGAACTTGCAGAAGATGGTTTGCAAAATTCAGAGGTGGAGATTTCACCCTTGAAGATGAAGATCGAACCGGACGTCCAGTTAAGTTTGATGAAAAGCTTCTTGAAGCAGCCCTTGAAGAAAATCCTGCTTTATTAGTTGAGGAATTGGCAGTGGTTCTCAGTTCAAACCATACAACTGTTCATCGTCATCTTCAACAACTTGAAAAAGTTCCTAAACTTGGAAAATGGGTGCCTCATGAATTGTCTGAAAACAACCTCAAATCCCAAGTTGACATCTGCTCTTCTCTCCATTCTCGCCAACTTGTTTCACTTTTTTGGATAGACTTGTGACTGGAGACGACAAAATGAATCTTTTATCGGAATGTTAAGCGTCGTAGACAGTGGCTTGGTAAAGGGGAAGGACCCCAGCCACAGCCGAGAAGGGAACTTCATGGGCAAAATGTTATTCTTTCAATCTGGTAGCATTGCCAAGGAATAATCCACTTTGAATTCTTACCACCTAATGCAACAATTAATGCTCAAATATACTGTCAGCAATTAGAGCGTTTGAACCAAGCTTTGAGGGGAAAAAAAGACCTGAGAAGAGGTGATGTTTCATCAGGACAATGCGCGACCCCACACAGCAAGAATCACGTCACAAAAGATTGGTTGGGAGAAAATTCCTCATCCACCTTAATCTCCCGATGTTGCTCCTTCGGACTACCATTTGTTTCGTAGCTTACAGAATCATTTGGAAGAAACAGCTTTTGTAACACAGGAAGAGGTTAAAACTGACATTTCTGAGTTCTTCGAATCAAAGCCAAAAGAATTTTCTAGTAATGGAATTAGTAAGCTTGTTAATAGATGGAAGGAAGTCATAGATAATCAGGGAAAATACATTGTTGATTGAATTTGTAATTAAATGTAACATTTGGTCATTTGTTTTTTTTTATTCAAGATTCGGACAGAACTCATGGGATGGCCTGATTGATAAAAAGAAAGAAACAGATAGATAGATAGATAGATAGATAGATAGATAGATAGATATGAACTGATTGGGACTGATATGAACAGATTTAGAAAGAAAGAAAGAAAGAAAGAAAGAAAGAAAGAAATGAACAGACTGGTACAGATAGATATGAACAGATTTAGATTGATAGATATATAGATACATTGAAAGAAAAAAGAAAGAAAGAAACGAACAAACTGGAACAGATAGATAGATAGATAGATAGATTTAACATTTCGTCATATCACTGGCTAAACAAAAGAGTGGTGTTACAAGAAATGAACTGAGAAGAAATTCCGATGAACCAATGTGAGAAATGTTTTAATTACTCAATTAATTCATTTTAAATGAATTCTCAATTTTAAAAACCTGTTTTCGTTTGATATTATAACCTGACAATATTTCAACTGTTTTACATGATGTCTGGGCGATATTTTGTCCATACAACAATTTGTACAATCGTTATACACTGCCGTGCCAAAAGTCATAGCAGAGCAAAATGTAAAGGTAATGATGGATAGCGCCATCGTACTTTGATATCATTGAATCATACCTATAGCCTTTATAGGTTGTCATGGATTAGTCAGTATGAAGCTTAATAAAAGCTAGATAGGTTAAATTTATAAACGTTTTCTATTTGGATGGCATTCTGTGGCATAATATCATTTGTCACTGTAGGTGAGTTTTGGGTGACCAACTCATCTTTTTCCATGGCTCGGTCTCGTGAGCAGTAGATAACTCGCGTGTTCTTATTTTGATCGCCAGCAGTATTCTGCAAAGTGTATTCTGCGTTGGTGTAAAATTGTAGAAATATCAGAGATGGATCCATTGAGATGTGATTTAGTTGGATGATATCTCCAAGATACATTCAGTATTGGTCTCAACATCTGAGTCTAGGTTCAAGTTTAGACTCTAACGTTTTCATTAAATATTAAATCATTAAAACCGCCTCTACAGTGGCTCGAAAGGATCTCTGTTTGAGGTTGTCTGGTAGATCAGATTCCCATATTAGATTAATTTTAATCAGAGTCTGTCTATATTTCTGAAATGAGGTATTATGTACATTATTTACATTATTCGGACTATTGTCCTCGTCTTTGTCGCCATATTTATCACAACGTTTCGGCCGTTATACGCTCCGGCCTTCTTCAGGTGGTTGAAATGTCGAACTGAACCCTTTATTTCGCTCACCGGGTAGACTGTTCTATCTCCACGTGCCATGTTTGATGGATGTCAGTTATCAGTTATCTCCTGTTAATTTCCCTCTGAAAGGCGTTGGTTAGATCCAGTGACAGGACCCAACGAGTGTGAGTTCAATACCCGGTTAAGGCAGGGGAGAACTTTCAGAGGGAAATTAACAGGAGATAACTGATAACTAACATCCATCAAACATGGCACGTGGAGATAGTACAGTCTACCTGGTGAGCGAAATAAAGAGTTCAGTTCGACATTCCAACCACTTGAAGAAGGCCGGAGCGTACAACGGCCGAAACGTTGTGATAAATATGGCGACAAAGATGAGGACAATAGTCCGAACAATGTAAATAATGTAATTTTAATCAAAGCTTTATCTATGGCTAGGTGTCCAGAACAGTAGATTGCTCTCCAGCAGTGTCTTGCCAAGTGCATCCTGCTTTCGTGTAAGATTGTAGAAATATCATGGATGCGTTCCTAGACATGTGAATTAGTTGGATATTGTCTCCAAGAAATGTTAAGATTAGCTCTCAGCATTGAAGTATAAGATCCATCGATCTTTGATGCAAGTGTTTTAGTTAATACCCAAGAAGTGGAACTATACATTAAAAACCGCTTCTCGAGGGTCGCAGTTTGAAGGATCTCCGTTTAAGGTTGTCTGGTAGATCATATTTCCTGACCACATAGCAGTTCAGCTTTCTATTTCTTTTTCTTTCTTTGTTCAGTTTTTGAAGACATCTTTCGCTATCCAAAGGTCTTCTCCAAATCAATTCACAATCTTATCCTCTTTATGACATTTTCTCTATGGCCCCAAGTTTAACTGGCACTAATTAAATTAACTGGATAGCCTTTAAAATAAGAGGAAATGCTTTTGCAGATAAGCATTCCTTAGAGCTGCCACTGCTCACAATAAAGCCACTCAGACACAAGTTGTTACTGAGTGTGAAATAAGAAAGAGAAACATTGTTAAGGAGTGCCAACAGAAGAACAACAAGAAGACAATAGATAACGATTGACATTGATTTTAAATTTTTGAAGATCAAATTTGACTGGAATGCATGGAGCCGGAAGAGAGTTCAACAAATGAGAAGTTCGAGAAAAGAAACTGTTAGCATAGAACTTACGGTTACATCTAGCCAATTCCTCTGTGAATTGCTGAAGCCTTCCGGTCAGTCTATCGTGCTTAAATTCATAAAGTCTATGTACCATAGCGGAGAGAACAATTTGTAGTAGTAAAGAAAAGACCAGCCATGACCAGCTAAGACTAGATTAGACCAGCTCCAACCAGCTTGGACAAGCTAAGACCAGCAGAAGACACTCGGGTCCCCATGTTAAAAACTGACCTTGTGTCACAACCTGACTCAGTGGGAGGTCAAGTAAATACCGTAAAGAAAAGGGGGGAAAAATTGGAAACTTGTAGTAGCAATAAACGCCTGCTATAGGTTTCTTCTGTCTCTCAATCGCAACACTTGTAGCCAAACCACAATTCAAACGATAGTCCATTGTAACAGTTCAACAGGTTACGTAGAAACGACAAAATGGGGTCACAAATCCAACCTTCACTTCTCATCAGCAAAAATGCATATTCGTCTACCAAGCTCAGAAAAAAAATCCCGCCCTTGTAAGCGAAAAACAATGGCTTTCATTTACTTATTTTCTGATTGGCCATGCCATTCAGGGGAGGAAAGAACATTAGCATAAATTCTGATACTTAAAGTAGAAGATTTTTGCTAACTACTTTTGGTAATTTTTCTTTCGCAGATCACTTACAAAATACAAACTCTTTTTTGAGGTAGGTGATTATCTCTTTCACTACACAATTATCATGAAATTGTCAATAGAAAAGACACAGGGAACCTAAATTACGACAGTGGGAAAGTGATTGAATACGAAAAGCCAGTCCAGGGCCAATAATATTGCTGATTCTTCTTTAGATTTTATCAACAATATCTGAATACATTGAAGGAACAATATTCAAAGTAGGAATGAATGGTAAATTTATTAATATGTAAGATTCTGAGAATTGTCGACCACGACACATTGAACCAACTTTCTTAGGAGCAGACCCAGCATGACATTCAATACAATATTTCCACTTCGCATCAGCAAAGAATTTTTGCCCTAGAAGCCGTAACGAGTCTCTCTCCTAGAAGTTATCATCAGACGTGTTGATGGGAAGCAGGATGGTCTCTCGGGTGTTTGATAGAGAGATGTTTAGTTTTGGGACGTTAAAATTAAGAAGACATTTCTTGCCCCAGTCAACTGAAGATTATAGGTCATACCTTGCAGAAATGATCAGGTTTACTATCGAGACAGGAGTAAACAGTTGTGTCATCAGCATACTGATGAAAATTAAGAACAAGGTAGATGCAAGTATAGAGCCTCAGCGGAACAGCGTTAGATCAAGCAGAATGAACATTCAGCACAATTTCATTGCAACCATACATATAAACTAATACCATGCATTAGTACGAAAAGATCTAGGGGAGCGGCCATTCAGGACAACTATTATTGTCCCCATAAATGTAAAACGTTCTCTCATCAAGTTGAGAACTGATATCATCAGGAATGTCATTGATAAAAATTAAGAAGAAAGTAGGTTCAACGATAGAGCTCAAGGGAATACCTGCGTTAGTATAAAAAGATCTAGAGGAGTGGCCATTCAGGACAACTTTCATTGTCCCCATAAATGTAAATGGTTGTGTCATCAAGTTGAGAACTGATATCATCAGGAATGTCATTGATGAAAATTAAGAACAAAGTAGGTCCAAGGATGAAGCTCTAGGGAATACCTATATTAGTACAAAAAGATCTAGAAGAGTGGCCATTCAAGACAACTTTCATTTTGCGATTTGATAATTTGATGTCCCCAAAAAAATAGTTTCTTCACATAAATTCTAAATTTTTTACTCTTTAACCCTTTAGTATTCAACCCACCCCCATCCCTGTAAATATCAGTTTTCAAAATTCAATCTGCCATAATATATGTTGAAATCATCACAAATTGTTGTAAAATATAGCAAAGGTGTGTCGATGTTGGGGGAAACACCTAACCAGTTGCTCTCCCAAGAACTATGGGGTAACAGGCAGAGAAAAGGGAAAGAGACAGGAGGAAACACAATAACACTGCCTCAGAGCATGACAACTACAGGAACAAAATGCTCAAGGGAATGACTTCACAAGACACCGAATCTTGCCAACTGCTCATTGCTGGTTTTCCTGTCACTTTTAGTCGTGTCACCAGCATAGATACCGAAGTGAGAACTGAGGCCATCATGAACGTCATTGATGAAAAACAAAGACAAAGTAGATCCAAGGACATATCCCTGGGGGACACCTGAATTAGGACAGAAAGATCTAGATGAGTGGGTTTCAGAACAACTTTCAATCGCGTTTTGATACGAAAGGCTGAATCAATTCAAAACTTCGTCCAGAAATACAACAGCCTTTCAGCTTATGAAGAAATTCAGTATGCCAAATCCTGTCAAACGCCTTCGAGATGTCCAAAGTAACAGCTCGAGCTTCATCATTATTATCTAAGGTTGATAGAATCTTTTAACAATAAGCAATAATACACTGGAAGTTGGCCTAGAAAAGCGAAAGCCAAATTGCTTGTCTGAATATAGGCCCTACGATGTGATATGCTTACCCATTTCAGAGTAGATTCCAGTGGTTTGCCAGAAAGAGGTAGAAGGTTAATTGGCCGATAGCTCTTAAAGTTTGAAACATCAGAAGAGGATTTCCAACAAGCAGGAAAGAAAGAAACAGCGTGGTATTTATTGTAGAGTTTAGAGAGAACAGGAGCCAGCATATTTCTTAAAGACATATAGGTATGCCATCAGGTCTCCACGCTTTGTGGGAATCCAGATTAGAGATCATAGCAGAAAGAAGTTATATGTATATCACTCAAGTGATATACACTGCGTGCCAAATTATTATCGAGATTACTTTTTTTATAATATTTCAAAAACCATCAAATCAATTCAAACAAGATTTTCACACAATGTTGGCAACACTGACCTGCGCAATCACTGAAATTTT